CTTGACACGGGGGCTATAACTCATACTATTTTGGTTGCTGGTTTTAGTAAAATGTATAGATGCTTTGCCACAGTGTTTCATCGTAAAAGAAAACTTGGTAGCAAAGTATGCATGAATTAATTACAAAATAAAGTCAATTTGTTATTCTTAAGTGATGATGATGAGAATGAATTTTACATTTTTTTCCTTTTAGTTTTATATACCACGCATTAAGTAATAAACATAATTTGTGTGTTTTTTCCCCGCAAAAATGGCATTTATTTAATTAAGAATATTAATTAATACATCCCTCCAAAATATTGCCTATAGAAAAGCATTCCTTTTTACCATCTTTCTGTAGCAAAGAGGATATTTCGAAGAATCTTAACCTGGTGACTTAAATGTCACAAATTTCGATGCTGAGATCGAAGCCATAAAACGATACATTTTTAAAACATTTAAATATGTCTAGACCATTTTAAAAAAATTTCATTTCTTTGCAGATTCCCAGTCTGCTATTTTGGTTGTTGCTTCACGTACAAAAAGTGATTCCTACCAAGTGGAGGAAGTTAAGATGCTTTTTAATCAAGCAATTTCTACAGGCTAGAAAATTGTTCTTCAGTGGATTCCTAGCCACTGCAACATTCCATGAAATTAAAACGCTGACATCATGGATGCAATTTGAAACAACCAAATTTTACCCTGCCCTACCAGCAAATATGTGGCGTAGTAAAAAATAGATTGCGAATGCCTTACGAAGAGGCCGTGCTAAAATTGAGACACGTAAGCTGTGGAGTTCATGTTGTACTCTCCTCCTTTCCATGAAACCTACCATGGATTAGTTTTTACTACAAATTTTAGACTTTTTACTGGACATGACTTTTTACAAAGACACATTTTCCGTATCGACGTGGCCAATATTCCTGACTGTGTCCTATGTTCTTCACACACTTTTATGGATTTTACAAATTTGACAAATAACCCTGCGCTTTTTTTTTTTTTTTATGAACTGTTTTCCAGACAATTTTTATAACAAAGCTAGTCTCTATTCGGCTGCGAAAGGGCTCATGACTGATATGGGCCCACCCCGTCGTAGGGAAAAAAATCTTTAGAGAAAGATAATTTCTTTTTTAAAATAATGAATTGTTTTTAAAGCTATCTATCAATCAATTCCCATTTTTAAGCTCTTCAAAAGAATGCAATTGATTGATGCTGAAAATTCCTATATTAAAATAAGTGATAATCAGAAGAAGAATTGTCTTGAAAATATGATGTGGGATTTTGGGTTTCTATCAAGTTTTTTATCAAATGGTTTTAGAATTGCTTCGTAGCTCATATGGTCGAGTATTTCCATGCCGGAAAATGATTCTCATATTTTGAATGTTTTGTCAATAGTAAATGTATCAATAGAAATCGTAATGTTCTACAATAAAGTTTTCATCAGCAGCAAATTATGATTTGTTTTCAACTGACAGAGCGTTTGGTTTCTTTAACAAAATCACCATATTTGAACCATTCAAACTATTTTTTGGAATATCCTTTCAGCTGGTACATGTGTCCCCTATCAACTTCAACAAGAATTCAATGCACTTTTTTTCCTATTGAAACATAAATGTCTTTCAACTTTTCAACGAAATGGCACATAATATACATCAAAAGACTAATGGCAGTTGTTTGACGAGACGTAATTGTCAAACTGATTCATGTGTTAATAATACAAGTTACACAACCCCGCTCTCATTAATGCCTAATAAAAGTCACAAAGAGTGACTTTTATAGATTCAGGGGAAAAAGTGCTGCGTAAAAGAATTTCAGGAGTAACTATTACTTATTTCCGTCTCGTATTGGAGTAAAGGTGAAAAATTACCATTAGCACTTTGACCGTTGTCCAAGTTGAGGATGTGTTGATGGTTATTGCCCAGCATAAGAAATGGGTTTTTCCCAGAAGGAGATTCACTTTTTTTTTAACAAATACGATAGAAAAGTAGTAATAAAACCTCATGTGTATTTTACTGATTACTAAGTAATATTTAGGACTTTCCACATGGAATATTTTGATTACGCTCCAGGGCGTAATATGCATTAAAAGTAAAATTATTTCTTAAATGTCGCATTACGAGCTGGCGTGGTAAAAAAATTACACTTAACTGATATGTTATATCAGATTTTATTAAAAAAGATAAACATTGTGATATAACAATATAACTCTAATTTAGTGGTGAAAAACAGCAAATACAATGTCTTAACTAAATTAGCAGTAAATGACTTTTCCTTACTTTGAAACATACAGTGAAATTTTTTATTTATGTTAACCTTTAAAATATATATATAGTAAGTGATCTCAGTTTGATGTCCTAGGATCAGGAATAACATATCAGGTTAAATAAAGCAGCTAAATTGTGTGCTGGATACAAAAATTATTGGCCGAGTTTATAGACGTAAGTTATTTTGCCAATTAAAGCATCAATAATATTTTGTAAATTAAAATTCTAAGGTTCCAAAAATTAATATTTTAAAAAAAAAGATACTATAAATAAGGAATTTAATTAAATAAATATGTTTTAATATAAAAGTACTTAAATAATAATACTCATAAAAATTAAATTTTAAAATTGTTGATTTTCTAAAACATCGTTCATTCATCTCATTGCCATTCTATTATAAGCTGTTTAAAAAAGCAATATTTATATTAACAATCAAAATCGTTTTATGTTTTATCGTTTATCTTAAATTATTCATTATTTTCAATAAACAAGTAACATAAAAAAAATATTTTTAAAGTCAATTTCTACTTTTTTTTTCACTCTATTGCAGAAAGTCCTTTATAAATAATTTTCATTCCTTTTTTAAGATTATCTGTCGCCATCTATTGGTAGATACATGCAACTTAAATCTAAAAAAAAACTAAAATTAATGAATTAAATTTAATTAATGAATTAATATTTGAAAAAAACTGTATTAACATCAAGTGTCGTCCATATACAAGTTCAAAAAAAAATGTATTTGAACTTGAGTGGATGAATAAAAAGCATTTTATGAACGATTGAAAATTTGAACAAGATATATATAGGGAGAGTGTGAGCTAATAGAAGGAATTGAATAATTCCACAAAAGGACTTTCAAAAAAAAAAATTAAAAATTAAAAAAAATGATATTTTTATAATAAGATTTCCACATCCTCAAAAAAAAATTATTTGCTATTCAGAATGAAAATACAAAGTTTCTGCAATTCAGCAGACTAAAAGTAATCCAATTCGACAGATGGATGTAAAGCGATTCAACTTTTAAACAAAATCAGACGTGTCAGCGAACTGAAATGAAATGAATTAGAAACGAAAAATGCAGCTGAAACAATAATTGGCGCCGAGACAGAAGATCTTTTGAAATAGTTTGAAGACATGGAATAAATAATAAATAAACCAAGAAGAAGAAGAAGCATTCATCATCTTCACTTGGCATAGTTACCCATAAGAATAATTGCTGATCTAAATGGGTATGACTAGAAATAAGTAAATGTCAGATTTATCTCTACTATTTAACATTATGTTATAAACTATGCCATAATATACTTTATAAGATTTTAAGTACAAGTTGTATTATAAGAATTGAATTGGTAAAAAAATAAATAAACCAATTTATTGAAAAATACAACAAAATTAGAGTATTTAGAGACACAGAAAAGAAAACATATCAGTTGAAATAAAATCATAAATTTATCAGAGACAAATTAGTTGACAATGTTCGATATGATATTACAGATATAAAATGTTTCTAATTTGAATAAATTTTCAGTATTAAATTTATCAATTTTTCAATCAATTTTAAATATCAGTTAGAGAACTGAAAAAAATATTAAAAAAAAATATTCGACACCAAATTGATTCCTATGACTTCAAAATGGGTTTGGATGCAGAGAGATATACTGTGCAACAAAGAGAGACTTTTACAATAGGTAAATATTTTTTAATGATTTCAATCAACTGAGTTTTTTCTTTATAAGCTAATAAAAAATGATGCATGATCTGTGCCAATGCGGCATCACAAATCAAATAGATTCTTTTCTTAAAATATACCTGAACCTTGTGTTTCGAAAATAACGTAAAGTTAATATAGAGTTTGGGGATCAGGAAGAATGTCGTCCAGTTCATTAAAGATGGTAAGAGAAGTTAAATATAATATGTAAAGATTGCTTTAATCACTTTCAGACGGCATCTTTTGATTTGGTCCCCTAAGATATTTTTTTTTTTAAATGGCTGGGCAAAATGTTACATAGAACAATAGTACTAAGAACAATAGAACTATTAAGAACTCGAACAATAGAACGATTAAGAACTAAGAACAATAGAACTATTAAGAACTAAGAACAGTATAATTATTAAGAACTAAGAATAAAATGACCAGAGTCATTGCCGAATGAGCGATCTTGCTTCCCAATACCTTGACACCTCTGCAAGTTCTGCGGCATGATGTCCAATTGGCTATGGCGCTCTGGCCATTGGTATCACAGGCTTCAGATTCGAATCCTGGTGGTGGCATGGATGTTTGTGAATGGTTCGGAATCCACGTTAAACTGTAGGTCCCGGTCTAATTAGCCTAAAGTGTGCAAAAATGACTGTGGAGCGACAAACCAAACCCCTGCAGGTCCACGAAGAGCCATCGAAGCAGATGGTTCCTGTCCATTATTTCTCCAGAGACACAAAGTTGGCAAATATGATCAGTTGAAATGTCTATGTTGTGGCAATTCAATCTCATCCCGTAGACAGGCGAAAGGCCGCCACTGCTTTTGCGTCTTGGTTTGTCGGGAATAAGAGAAGGACTTATCCACCAACTCCATTTTTTTAAGACTTGTACTAGTCTGAAGATCCCGCTAGAAATTGGATGTAAATAAATGTTTTAAAAAAGTTTAATCCTCCAATGAGGAATAACTGTATTAGTATATTGTAGTAAGCTGGAAATTTCTTCTGCAAGGAAGTCCGCTATGACCCAAAGACCACTATGGTCAGACACCCACTGAAGAAGTCGCCATGATCGTATAGTGGTTTGTACATTGCGTTATGACAGCAATAACCCAGGTTCGAATCCTGGTCAAAGATCTTGCTCTTACTTGGTAAACTACATTTGAATTCTACTTTGAATTGGTGTATTTGTTGTAATCTTGTATCCTGTGTAACCTCACTGCTTTGTAATTTTGTTTCATTTCTATGCATTTTTATTTTCAATTTATTTAAAATTTAAAATTTTAACTTTAATTTCAAAATATTTTTGGGGGCATCGTGGAACGGACGACTAATTGTATCGTTAACTTTCTCCTCTTTTCTGTCTCCTGCTTCAATTGTTCTCAAGCAGGAAATATTTTTCTTAAATTCTTCTATTTAATTTTCTTTTTTACTCCTTAAATTTAACCAACTTCATTTTTGTGAAGATTTTTTAACTATCTTAACTATCTTTAAGGTTTAGTGGTTCTTAAAACCACATTGGAACTCCGTAACTGGTACGCCCGTTGCCCACTGAAGAGCGATTTATCTCTTCTTTAAAGTGAGAATTCTCAACAATTTTTGACATGTCTCCTTAAACATGCAATGCAGCAAAGGTAAAAAGAGACAAATACGAATGAAACATTGTTCTACAATATTAATTTATGAAAAATACATTAGAAAAATTTGAAAATTCTATATATAATGTTTACCAATACAACAATGGAAAAACAATCCCTTAAATAAAAACAGTAAAATATTCACTAAAACAAAATAGAATATCAGAAAAACAAAACAAACCACATTGTCAGCCGTTATACATTTTCTCTAACACCAAATGCTCGATGAAAAAGTCATTAACTATCTTGACTGATAGTATTAAAGGCTAAAATTACTCTAACTAGAACCATTGGGCTAGATCTTCAGAGAATAATAATAGTTAAGAGCACCCTCAAATGCCATACTCAATGCATTACGCATTGTATAAATTGTTTTCTCCTGGTATTATGTAGAATGCATTATTTTTTGTTGGCATATATTTCGATTATTTTTAGTCACTTTGTATTTTATGACTAACATTTTTCATAATTTAGCAATTTTTATTATTTCAGTGTCGATGCTTTATATATATGATGTTCGAAAAATCGTTGTTATTTAATTTTTAAGATTATATATTTTTATTTTTTAAAATCTAAAAAAAAAATCATGTTGTTGCGATTCAGACAATTTATTTGTTACTTAAAATGCAATGATATATGAAGTAATTTAAATTTAAATTTTTGGTTTGCTTTTTATTTTTATGTCAAATATATATATATATAAATATATATACATGTATAATGAAAACATAAAATATTCGGAAGAATTATAAATTATACAATTTACTTACACAGATACAGTATTAAAATACAGTTACAATATACATCACTGCGAAAGTCTTCTGTGTACATAAACCATTTATTAAAGAGAAAAAAAGTATGTTTGTGTATATTAAAAAAGTTTTTTTAGTTAAAATTTTTTATTATGATTAATAACCAGAAAATCACACAAAAGTTGAATTAATTTGTATTTATTTGTCAATTAAAACAATGGAATTTTAAATTACGATTTTACGCCAAATGAAAATAAGTAACTATTGTATTTGTAACCGTTTTATACAATTATTATTCCAAATAATATTATTTTAAAGTGTTGTATTTGTTCATTTTGGATTGATGAATCAAACAAAGAAAAATACGAATGAAAGAGTCATATTTGAGGAATTTTATCAGAATTATTATATGAATTATCATTTTTTTTCTTCCTAAACAAATTTTCAGAATAATATTTATTTTCTATTTAATAAAATCAGACATTACTATGCATAATGATAAAAACGGACATAACATAAATCGGTTAATATACAGAACATAAATAGAGAATGACTGAAAATTTTTTAAAATACTATAAATGCCTTACCAAATGAAGAATTTTTTTTTTGAAAAAAATACGTGCTTTCGAAAATCTAAAATTTAGATAATCATTTTAATATCTTTAACCAGTTTTTCAAGTTTAAACAAATAAATGAAAATTTTCATTTGAATATTTTAATTTTTATAAAAAGGAAGAAAATATTTCCAAATGTTTATAATAAATAATGAATTTAGAATTGTTTCGTTTTTTAAAAGATTGATTTGTTATAGTAAAATATTAAATTAAAATAACTATATTTTCACAGTAACTCATTATCACAATTTAGTTCAATTAATAAATGGATATAGGATTTATTATAAACCTACATTTTTTATTTGATGCCTTTTGAAATAAATAACATAATTTCAAATATATTATCATAAGAAGCCATATACAATGGATGTTGAAACGTATTATTTTATAAAGAAAATTAAAAAAATTTTTTTTTTGTATTAATTTATCATTTTATAATGTTAATAATTTTAAACATGAGATTCAATTTCAATTTTAAGATGGATGAAATCAATAAATATTACAAAAATATTTCTAAGGAAACTTTATTTATTAATAAATATTTCATTAATGAGTAATTTTGATTTTGCCATTTTTAAGTAATCATACTAATTTGAAATTTAAAATACTTTGAGCACTTGTTATGAATAAAGGAAATACTCAAAATTAAAATTCCTTTATCTAATTTTAAAAGTTGATGGTAGCACAGTAGCATTTTTTCCACGAGAAGAGTTTTGTTCCTAGGAGAGAGGAATATATATTCTTTAACAAGTACATAATAACAATATATCACTCAAATTTGACAGCAAATAAGCAGTGGTGTGAATATTTATATTACATGGAATTAGTGTTTTGTACTAATAAAAAATCTGTCACTCAAAGCTGATAGCAGATAATCAGTGCCATGGATAATGAGACCTTATGAAATTCGCGATTGTCTGCACAACCTTCACAGGTCGAAACAATTACAGAGGGAATATACACTACGTCATGAGTTATTTCATCGTGATTGGTGATAGAACCTGAGCTGAGGAAGTGTCGACTGCAATGGGAAGTGAGGGAAGCTGACACCCCTCTCTTGACGGATTTTCTTAAAGGAAGGTTTTTGAAAAAGAATAGTGCTCTGTGACGAGTAGACAAAATATTTATTTTTACTCTTTTTCTGTAAAGTGATGAACATACCGGAATTTCCGCCTGTTTATAAAGTGAGCCCCTTGTGTATCACGCCGTGTGATAATTAAGGTCTGCCGCAGACTGGTGAATTAGATTCGTGATAAACTTGAGAAAAATATCTGACCTTGGAGTGAACTGGGCTGGTGATTTAATCGAGCAGAAAATTAGCGTCTGTCTGTGCGACCGTCACAGGAGAATCAATGACGACGAATCACGACGCAACAACTCAATAAATTACAGATCATGACGCAACAACTCATGGTTTATTCCAAAAGAATAGACCATGAGTTGTTGCGTCGTGATTGGAGATAGACTGAGATCTGAGAAATGTCTTTTCCAGTGAGAAGTGAGGGAAGCAGACGCATCCCTCCCTCCATCCTTGGAGTGAACTGCACTTGCAAATCAACTTTATTTTTTTATTTTTCATTGTTTGTATATAATAATTTGTATATATATATAATGTTTGTAAATAAATATTAAAGTGTTCCTATGGACCTGAAAGTGGCCTTCTTCTTAAAGCCGTTATAGGTCTAGTATAGGCTCAGATATTACAATACCTTATAGAGATTTTCTTGTTCGATTTGATTAAAGTATAACATAAAAAAGGATCAAAATATCTGCAACTTAATATTTAGTCGACTTCCAGGAATTTAGGACTTTCAGTAAATGGATAACTTCGGAAAGAAATCAGACGAATTTCCCTCCTAGACACTTTAATGGAACTTCAAATACTCATTTAGGAAAGCAATCCAAAAGCAAACGACTTCTTTCAAAAGAATTCTTTTCGACTATTCTGGTCAATCTCAAATAAGTTCGAAAGATTCTTTTTATTCTACAGAAAGGAAAAAAAAAAACTTTCTCGGAAATATTCTCGCACAATTACTGAATGAGAAAGGTTTTCAGGGAAAAAGGGTCGGCTAATTACTAATTCAACATGACAGATGATTTCCTGAAACTGAAGAGAAATTTGTAAACATTTTTATTTCTACGAGCCGTAATTGGACAAAGAAAAATGCTTAAGTCAATAGAAAAGACAAATTAAAAAGAAAAAAAAATAGTTTAACTTGTAATAAAGTTTTCAATATGCTCCAATTTAAGCGAAATTTTCAGAAGAAAATAGTTTTAATGTCTTATTTTATTAACTTTCACTTTAATTGGAACATCTTTTTCGCAACTTAAAGATTTCAACGGGAATACAAAAACATTTAAAAGCATTTTTAAATATTTAAATCCGTAAATAAATTTTATATTTGATTCTATCCATTTTATTTAAACAAATGAATTGAAAATTTTTGTTTTTACTTTAACAATTATCATAGAATAAGAAAGATTTCCACAATTTGTGTTATATAATTATTAAATAAAATATTTTGATCAAAAGAAATTAAATTTATTATATTTGTTATACTTTAACAATTATTTTTATATAAAATTGTAAATATTACTTTAACTATTATTATTATTATTATTAAAAATATAATTTCGAACTACTTACAAATTATTATAATTACAGTTACTATAACAATTATTATTATTAGAAATCATATTTTTAAATTTTTGTTATATTTTAACAATTATTATTATATAAATTTGTAAATTTAATAGTTAATTATTATTATTATTAAAAATGTAATTTCTAACTACTTACAAATTATTAATTACAATTACTATAAAAATTATTACTATTATAAATTATATTTTTAAATTTTTGTTTTATTTTAACAATTATCATAAGAAAACAAAATATTTTAACAATTTGTTAAGTGAAGTATTTTGATCAAAAGAAATTATATGTATTACATTTGTTATACTTTAACATTTATTATTATAAAAAAATTTAAATTTTATTTTAACTATTATTATTATTAAAAATATAATTTCTAATTACTTACAAATTCTTACAGTTACAGTTACTATAACAATTATGATTATTAGAAATTATATTTTTAAATTTTTGTTTTTCTTTAACATTATCATAAGAAAAAAAA